GAAGGAAGGAAGGAAGGAAGGAAGGAAGGAAGGAAGGAAGGAAGGAAAACACCTACCCCACTGAACATTATTCAGCAATAAAGGAGAATATTTGCAGCTCGGGGTTGACATGAGGGATCCTTGGTGCTCTCTGAGCTTGGTGGTTTTCTTGCAGGCGTTTCATGACCCAACCAGAGAACATCATCAGTGCTAGAAGGGAAGGGGGTTTGTGGAGAGGAAGAGGAGGAAGACTGTGGGGTCCTTGGTGCTCTCTGAGCTTGGTGGTTTTCTTGCAGACGTTTCATGACCTAAACTAGGTAACATCATCAGTGGTAGAAGGAAGTGGGATTTGTGGAAAGTAGTAGTAGTAGTAGTAGTAGTAGGAGGAGGAGGAGAAGGAGAAGGAGGAAAGAGAGGAAATCTGTGGGATTCTTGGTGCTCTCTGGGCTTTGCTGTTTTCTTGGAAACATTTCATGACCCAACTAGGTTTAGCGCTAGAAGGAAGTGGGATTTGTGGAAAGTAGGAGCAGGACTAGTAGGAGGAGGAGGAGGGGGAAGAAAAGGAGGAGGAGGAAAAGAGGAGGAGGAGGAAAGGGAGGAGGACTGTGGGGTCCTTGGCACTTTCTGGGCTTTGCTATTTTCTTGCAGGCGATTCATGACCCAACTACATAACATCATCAGTGCTAGAAGGGAGGGAGGTTTGCAGAAAGGAAGGGGAGGAGGAAGGGGAAGAGTACGAAGGGAAGGATCAGCATAGATCAACTCCAAGGTTAACAGCAGGCCAACAATAAAATCAACAATACCCCAATCAAGGATCGGCCAAAGAAGCCAGCAGGAAACTGCCCAACCAAAGAACCTCCAAGACCACACCCACCAACACTGACAGGCAAACCACTAGAATATAAGCTGACAGCAAAGCCCACTAGCACTGATGATGTTACCTACTTGGGTCATGAAACGTCTACAAGGAAACAAGCAAGCTCAGAGGGCACAAAGGACCCCACAGTCCTCCTCCTCCTCCTTTCTGCAAATCTAACTCCTTTCTAGCACTAATAATATTACCTACTCTGGTAATGAAATGTCTGCAAGAAAACAAGCAAGCTCAAGGAGGCATCCTTTCTGATATTTTGATGCCAAATGCATGTCTTTCAAACACATCAGCCTTTAGGGCAGGGGTCTTCAAACTTGGCAACTTTAAGACTTGTGGACTTCAACTCTCAGAATCCTCCAGCCAGCCATGCTTAAAGTTGCCAAGTTCGGAGACCCCTGCTTCAGGTCAACCAATGTCAGCGAAATGTCATTTATCT